GTGCTTGATTTTTTTTGGGTAATGTTACACAACTCGATCCATCACTCATCTTGTGCCCTAGCTGTATCTTGTCCGATAATTTTAAATATAATATGAAACTATTTAGTCGACTTAGCTGACATTTAGAATCCTAGACGACTTTGTGAAACATAATTTAGTGTTTTTTGAAATTCAATTGTTAACTAACCATGTGCTCGATTTATGTCGAGTAATGTTACTCAAGTCAATCCATCTGATTGATTTCAAATATCATATGAAACTATATAGTTGACTAAGCTAAGCTTTACAATTTAAAATCTGGAAGACTTTATGAAACATAATTTAGAAAGTGAGCATTTTGTAAAGTTGTTACTTTTTATTAGACTTGGTTGCTTTATCATTACTCTCAAATAGTTTAGTTATCATTGAACAGTACAATTTGTTTAAAGTTTTATCAGAAGTTTTAATATTTCGCGGCTTAGGTTGTACCTGTGTAAGATTTCTCACTCGTGCTTATTTCATACGAAGCATTTTGATTTTTTTTTTAAGTATAAAGAAATAATGATTGATACAATTGTCTGAAATGTATGGTGTTGTTGGTAACGTGTTCGTATTTGACCTCCTAGTCAATACAGCCTTGCCGAGCGGTGGTTATAGAAATAGTAGGCATCGGATTGCCTTGAGTTCTTATTAAGATATTGGCTAAAATATCACTTCTAAAGAACAACACTGATTGACTATTTCAACAACACTTTATTAGCACCCGAATGATGATTAACAATTGTCTTTACACGACTAATATTGCGACTCTGCTGAGGCCAACAGCAACTCTGCTGTGGCCTACAGCAACTCTGATGTGACTATAGCTACTATAATTAACACAACTCTGGTGTGATAAAGACAACTCTGCCTTTTCAACTAATGTCGGTTCTTTATATACTGTTTAAATGGGACTGCAAACACCTTATGATGGCGTATTTGAAATATTTGCTGATTGTGATAATTACTGCAATCGATATCGAATTTGGCATATCAGCATTGCCATTACACAATGCAGCATTATCGATTGCTATTACACAATATGTCATTTGATAATTTTGTATGTGCATTAATTTTTTGGGATGATTTTATTTAAAACTGATAATGAATTCTATTTATCTTTATCTTTATCGTAGTAGGTATAGATGGTAAGCCTTATTGAACAAGAAGCCTTAATATTTATTGGATTATTATTTATTCGAGATAGAGGTTTTTTTAGATTATTATTAGCCACGCTTACATGGAGCATTTGGCCATCCACAACATTCCATTTTTTATTCTAATTATTTTTCAAATTTTAATTTCTTATTGAAAGACAATTATTTTTATTCTTCAATATTAAGGAATAAATTTTATTTCATTATGCTATTTCACTTTGATAAATCAGAAAAACCTTATATGTAGAAAGGTGGAGTCTGTTAATCATACAGTCTGTTTTAAAGTTTTAAATTTTATCATGGAAGATTGTATCCGAAGTACAAAAATATTACTATTTCTTATATTGAGCATCGGCATCATTTTAATAATGCATTTATAATGATGTTCATTCCAATTTAATACTTCTTTCTATATTTTACAGGTTCAGACCAATGTTTTTATTCGTATTGGAAAGCAAAATGAAGCTGCTTTGGAAATAATTTTGCAATTGAAATCAGTCGGGCCCTGACAAATCTAGTGTTCATTGGTTGAAGTTAATAATCTGAGGAAACTCATTCATTAACACAATAACTAGGTTTGAGTGTCATATTGCTTTAAGGTATGTTGATTAGATTTGCATAACAATCGGCCTAGTTGTTTTGGTTATTTTTTTTGCCTGCTTTCAGACAGTTTACAATGTTTTTATATTTCTTCAAATGCTTTCATCTGACATCATCACTGTCATTTTAAGACTGTAGAAGTGATTTTGATTGGTGGCCATCAAATGAAAAAGCGACATGTCTCATTAAATATCAAGCATTTAGTAAATATTCCAAAGATGTCTGAAGCTTTCTGAGGCTGTCTGAAAAATATACTGAAGATTATTAAAAGTAAGTTAAAATACCAATGAGTTTTATTGATTGAATTTTGTTAATAAGTACATTTATCATCGATTTGCAATTACATTGATGTCCTTTTAACACTCAGCAGATTTGAATTTGCTATCGACGTCATCGCACTTTGGATGAAAGCGGCGCTTTAAATATTTTACTTGATTTATATAAAAAATTAAGAAACCCTAGAAATCAAAGAAAATGTTAAAAAAAATAATCATTGAATTAAATATCAAATTTAATAAGACTTTGCATTTCATGATTCGAATGATTGCTTGCATGGTAGCTTTCGTATGGATTAATATATTACAGTGCATGCGTAGTTCTAGTTTTAATAACACTAACAAATACTAACAAAATAACCATCCATTCTATTTTTAATCAATAATCATGTAATCATTTGAATCATTTAAAATAATGCAATGTGTAATTATCATTCATTACACTTTTTATCACTGCTTTCAATTCATAAATTCGTTTTCTGTACATCCAAGTGCGAATTGTAAACCGTTGTGACATTATTACATTTTATTTCTGAGTATTCGGACTAAGTCACATCAACACATAATGTACAAATTGAAGAAAACTGTAGGAAGTGGATGTTCAATTCTCCACTACTGAATCAACTGCCACCATCGACTCAACCGACTTTATCGACTCTAGTCAATCAAACGTAAGTAAGCTCATATCAAGTATCTATCAGGCTGTATGTATCCTTTCTCAAACATTTTAAAAGATGTATTCTAACCTTTTGTTTTTTTTATTGCAGGTTCAATTCTCCACTACTGAATCAACTGCCACCATCGACTCAAGCGACTTTATCGACTCTAGTCAATCAAACGTAAGTAAGCTCATATCAAGTATCTATCAGGCTGTATGTATCCTTTCTCAAACATTTTAAAAGATGTATTCTAACCTTTTGTTTTTTTTTATTCCAGGTTCAATTCTCCACTACTGAATCAACTAAAAGTCGACTCAACCGACTTTATCAACTCTAGTCAATCCAACAGTAAACTCATATCTTAACTTAGGTCTTTGGTCTTGGTCTTAACTTGTTGCCCTGGTCTTGGTCGTGCTCTTGGTCGTGGTCTTGGTCGTGGTCTTGGTCGTGGTCTTAACTTGATGCCCTGGTCTTGGTTTTGGTCTTGGTAATGGTCTTGGTATTGGTCTTGGTCTTAACTTGTTGCCCTGGTCTTGGTCTTGGTCTTGGTCTTGGTCTTGGTCTTGGTCTTGGTCTTAACTTGATTCCCTGGTCTTGGTCTTGGTCTTGGTCTTAACTTGTTTCCCTGGTCTTGGTCTTGGTCTTAACTTGTCCCTGGTCTTGGTCTTGGTCTTGGTCTTGGTCTTGGTCTTAACTTGTTGCCGTGGTCTTGGTCTTGGTCTTGGTCTTGGTCTTGGTCTTAACTTGTTTCTCTGGTCTTGGTCTTGGTCTTGGTCTTGGTATTAACTTGTTTTCCTGGTCTTCTCCACTGCTATCATCAGCCCAACCGACTTTATCGACTCTAGTCAATCAAACGGTAAGTCTCCGCGGTCTTGGTCTCCTTGATCTTGGTCTCGGTCTTTTCGGTCTCCTCGGTTTCCTCGGTCTCGGTCTCGGTCTCGGTCTCCTCGGTCTCGGTCTCGGTCTCGGTCTCCTCGGTATCGGTTTTGGTATCGGTCTCGGTCTCGGTCTCCTCGGTCTCGGTCTCGGTCTCCTCGGTCTCGGTCTTGGTCTTGGCCTCGGTCTTGGTCTCGGTCTCCTCGGTCTTGGTCTCGGTCTTGGTCTCGGTCTTCTCGGTCTTGGTTTTGGTCTTGGTCTTGTTCTTAGTCTCTTCGGTCTCGGTCTCGGTCTCCTCGGTCTTGGTCTCGGTTTCGGTCTCCTCGGTCTCCGCGGTCTGGGTCTTGGTCTCGGTATCCTCGGCCTTGGTCTTGGTCTCGGTTTGCTTGGTCTTGGTCTTGGTCTTGGTCCTGGTCTCTTTGGTCTCGGTCTCGGGCTCCTCGGTCTCGGTCTCGGTTTAGGTCTCGGTCTCGGTCTTGGTCTCCTCGGTATAGGTCTCCTCGGTCTCGGTCTCCTCGGTCTCGGTCTTGGTCTTGGTCTCGGTCTTGGTCTCGGTCTTGGTCTCGGTCTTGGTCTCGGTATCCTCGGCCTTGGTCTTGGTCTCGGTTTGCTTGGTCTTGGTCTTGGTCTTGGTCTTGGTCTTGGTCTTGGTCTCTTCGGTCTCGGTCTCGGTCTCGGTCTCGGTCTCGGTCTCGGTCTTGGTCTCGGTCTCCTCGGTCTTGGTCTCGGTTTCGGTCTCCTCGGTCTTGGTCTCGGTCTCCTCGGTCTCGGTCTTGGTCTCGGTCTCGGTCTTTGGTCTCCTCGGTCTTGGTCTTGGTCTCCTCGGTCTCGGTCTTGGTCTCGGTCTCGGTCTCCTCGGCCTTGGTCACGGTTTTGGTCTCCTCGGTCTTGGTCTCGGTTTCGGTCTCGGTTTTGGTCTCTTCGGTCTTGGTCTTGGTTTCGGTCTTAGTCTCTTGTCTTGGTCTTGGTCTTGGTCTCGGTCTCGGTCACCTCGGTCTTGGTCTTGGTCTTGGTCTCGGTCTCGGTCTTGGTCTCGGTCTCGGTCTCGGTCTTGGTCTCGGTCTCGGTCTCGGTCTCGGTTTCTTCGGTCTTGGTCTTGGTCTCGGTCTTGGTCTTGGTCTTGTCTTGGTCTTGGTCTTGGTCTTGGTCTCGGTCTCCTCGGTCTTGGTCTTGGTCTTGGTTTTGGTCTTGGTCTCGGTCTCGGTCTTGGTCTCGGTCTCGGTCTCGGTCTCGGTCTCGGTCTCGGTCTCGGTCTCGGTCTCGGTCTCGGGTTTGGTCTTGGTCTTGGTCTTGGTCTTGGTCTTGGTCTTAACTTGTTGCCCTGGTCTTGGTCTTTGTCTTGGTCTTGTATCCTTTCTCAAACATTTGTATATTCTAACCTTATGTGTATTCTAACCTTATGTTTTTTTATTTCAGGTTCAATTCTCCACTACTGAACACACTGCTATCATCAGCCCAACCGACTTTATCGACTCTAGTCAATCAAACGTAAGTAAGCTCATATCAAGTATCTATCAGGCTGTATGTATCCTTTCTCAAACATTTTAAAAGATGTTTTTTAACTTTTTGTTTTTTTTATTGCAGGTTCAATTCTCCACTAATGAGCCAACTGCAATCATCAACCCAACAGACTTTATCGACTCTAGTCAATCAAACGGTAAGTCTCCGCGGTCTCGGTCTTGGTCTCGGTCTCGGTCTCCTTGGTCTTGGTCTCGGTCTCGGTCTCCTCGGTCTCGGTCTCCTCGGTCTCGGTCTCCTCGGTCTCGGTCTCGGTCTCCTCGGTCTCCTCGGTCTCGGTCTTGGTCTCGGTCTCGGTCTTCTCGGTCTCGGTCTTCTCGGTCTCGGCCTTGGTCTCCTCGGTCTTGGTCTTGGTCTTGGTCTCGGTCTCGGTCTCGGTCTCCTCGGTTTTGGTCTTGGTCTTGGTCTCGATCTCCTCGGTCTCGGTCTCTTCGGTCTTGGTGTTGGTCTCGGTCTCGGTCTCGGTCTCGGTCTCGGTCTTGGTCTTGGTCTCGGTCTCGGTCTTGGTCTATGTCTCCTCGGTCTTGGTCTCGGTTTCGGTCTCCTCGGTCTTGGTCTTGGTCTCGGTCTCGGCCTCGGTCTTCTCGGTCGTGGTCTCCTCGGTCGTGGTCTCCTCGGTCTCGGTCTTGGTCTCAGTCTCCTCGGTCTCCTTGGTCTCGGTTTCGGCCTCTTCTGTCTCGGTCTCGGTCTCTTCTGTCTCGGTCTCGGTCTCGGTCTTGGTCTCGGTCTCGGTCTCGCTCTCGGTCTCCTCGGTCTTGGTCTCCTCGGTCTTGGTCTCCTCGGTCTTGGTCTCCTCGGTCTTGGTATCCTCGGTCTTGGTATCCTCGGTCTCGGTCTCGGTCTCGGTCTCGGTCTCGGTCTTGGTCTCGGTCTTGGTCTCGGTATCGGTCTCGGTCTCGGTCTCGGTCTTGATCTTGGTCTCGGCCTCCCTTGTCTCGGTCTCGGTCTCGGTCTCGGTCTCGGTCTCGGTCTCGGTCTTGGTCTCCTCGGTCTCGGTTTCGGTCTCCTCAGTCTTGGTCTCGGTTTCGGTCTCGGTCTCGGTCTTGGTCTCGGTCTCTTCGGTCTTGGTCTTGGTCTTGGTCCCGGTCTCCTTGGTCTTGGTCTTGGTCTCGGTCTCCTCGGTCGTGGTCTTGGTCTTGGTCTCGGTCTCGGTCTCGGTCTTGGTCTCGGTCTCTTCGGTCTTGGTCTCGGTCTCTTCGGTCTTGGGTTTGGTCTCGGTCTTGGTCTCTTGTCTTGGTCTTGGTCTTGGTCTCGGTCTCGGTCTCCTCGGTCTTGGTCTTGGTCTTGGTTTTGGTCTTGGTCTCGGTCTCGGTCTCGGTCTTGGTCTCGGTCTCGGTCTCGGTCTCGGTCTCGGTCTTGGTCTTGGTCTTGGTCTTAACTTGTTGCCCTGGTCTTGGTCTTGGTCTTGGTCTTGTATCCTTTCTCAAACATTTGTATATTCTAACCTTATGTGTATTCTAACCTTATGTTTTTTTTATTTCAGGTTCAATTTTCCACTACTGAACCCACTGCTATCATCAGCCCAACCGACTTTATCGACTCTAGTCAATAAAACGTAAGTAAACTCATATAAAGTATCTATCAGGCTGTATGTATCCTTTCTCAAACATTTTGAAAGATGTTTTTTAACTTTTTGTTTTTTTTTATTGCAGGTTCAATTCTCCACTAATGAACAACTGTA